ATGGGGGTTGGCAGCTGCAGGGAGGCCCCCTGCCCCCCACCCCCACCCCCACACACACACTTTAGATACTTTCTGCAGGCAGCTTTTTTCTCAGGCCCCTTCTACTGATGTCTTAAAACAGTTTAAAAACAGTATATATAATTTTTTTTCACTTCAAACTGAAGTATCTGAGCTCCCTTACTAGAGTGTCCTGAAGGATGAGTTCCAAATACAGATCCCTGGGCCCCACTTTCTGACCTGAGTGATGTCTGGGACCCCTTTGGTCAGGCAGAGCCTTGGGTAACCTGTTGGGCTGCCCTTAGTGGGAAGAGGTTGCTTGGAGGTGCTGGCTTCCCTTGTAACTCAGAGCTCTAAGGAGGTGGAGAGGAAGAGTTTGAGGGTGGACCATCTCCCTTGCTGCTTCTAGGTTCTGTCCCCACTCTAGGTCCCAGAGGCTCAGGTGCCTGGGCATTTATTCCCCTGGGGCCTTGGGCTGAGGTCCTGAGGGACAGGCAAGATTTTTCACAGGCAGAGATGAAGATAAAGCACTTTCCAGAAGAAGGCAACCACAGGGACACAATCATGAAAGTGTAAGGGCACTGGCTTGGTCTCAGGAATTCCATGTTTCTTTCATAGCTTGCTGGTCTTCTTCAGGGCAGCCAATCCAGTGGCAGGTTCCTACCCAGGAATTCTCAGTTACAAGTGAAAAGGTCTTGCAAGGCAAGTCTGGTGGTTAATGCCTACTCTGCTCACTCGCCCCTCCTCCTGCTGCATGGGGGTGGGTGCATGGAGAGATGCTTTACTTTTCTGATCAACCAGGGGAGCCCATGGGAGCTATTTTGTTACTGTTTCCTCTTCCCTCCCTCTGCCCCCTGCCCTGTTTGCTGATTTTCTCCCACCTTCCCCCACCCTTTTTGCAATGTCACCTCAAGTGCACAAATTCCAAGTACAAACCATGAGTCCTTCCCACCACTCCAGTACAGGTGCTGCATTCCATTGCTCCCCCGTACTCTCTCCTGCACCCCAGTTCTGATTCCTCCTCATTTTATTTATCTCATGGTAACAGAAAGGTTGCATCTGCCGCTTGTGGTAAACATGAAATTACGGAAAGCTGCATGGAGCCTGCATTCTATTTTCACAGGTAGAGGTGGGGAAAATAGACATTACAGGAAGAGGCAACCATATATAAAATGCATGGCGAGTGTAGAGTAGTTCACAAACTTTCCTGTACATTAAAGTCACAGGGACAGCCTAAGAAATATGTTTATACCTTAACCCTGTCTCTAAAGATTTTATGCAAATTGTCTGTGGACCACTCTTGAGAAACATTGGTCTTGGCTCTTCTCACCCATGTCAGGGCAGGGTATTTTGAGGAGATTAGCATATTTAGTGTACTTCAGGGTTACCCTGAAAATGGACCCCTATCCAGGTGAATATTATGAAAGCCTTAGCAATTAAAGAGGCTATGATTAGCTTAATGTCAAAGTAGAGTCTGACCTAGGCAGAGAAATTGTACCTATTAAGTACAGTATATAGAACTGATTATATTTTACTATATAACCTTATATCTTTACTATACTGTATGTATTATTATACTAACAAGCATTGTTGTAGCAATTTTAGAAATATTATTCTGTTTAATCTACTTTTATAGTAGTGGATGCTCCATTTTGTAGATGAGGAAAATGGGACTTGAAGAGGTCAAGATTTTGTCTAAAGTCAATGAGTTAGTAAGTAATAGATGCAGGATATGAACACAAGTAGTCTGAATTGATATTCCATGTTCTTATCCATTTCTCTGAAACTGGGAATATGTCAGGGATTGAGTGAAAGGTTCTGCTAGTGATGAAGATTTAAACCTTACTTCTTTACACAACCAAAAATGTTGGGATATAGATGTGGACATTTGTGGAAAGTAGATGCTATGGGTGAAAACACTGAGAGCAACTATGAGAGATTCTGGGATTCAGCCTGTGATTAGTGGCAAGGCTTGCTGAAAGTGGAGGTGCTGTAGCTCTTCCGGCACAGCAGCCAGCCAGCCAGACTAGCAAGAACTAGTGTAGGGATCCTGATGTCATTCTGTGGAAGAATGACCAATCTGAGTATTCATAGCAGATAAGAAAAACTAAGGATTACATCTGTCTTCTTTTCCATGGGACTAAGGAATCATCAAAATTGAATACTATCCCATAGAAAAGGGGGAGGAACCCTTGCAATTACTGATATTAGACTTTCTACCAGTAAGGTGTGTGCAATTGGGACTCAGATGTAATTTGGTTTAGAAAAACAAGGAAATGTGCTCTATATTCCTCTCAGGTTTCATTAGATGATAATACCCCAACCCAGGATTCAGAAGAACAAAGAGGACTTGCATGCTCTGGGAGTTGTGGTATCACACATAATAGAGTGGCAATCTCTTACATACTTAATATAGTCCCCCAAGCCATCATCCAATGCCCTTATGTCTGCATTGCATATTATGTAGTGGAGGATGTGTATTATAACTTTCCAAAATGTGGTGGAGATATAGGAAGGGAAACTTCCAGTTCTGGCAAAGAGAGAACACCCCTATTCTTTCCAGGTCCTCACTCTTACCACTAAAAATATCCCCTGGACATAGCACAGCAAACAAATAAAATGAAGTCTCTGAGTGGTGGAAAGACTAAGGATCTCAGAATTTGAGAAAAGACGGGGTGGTGGGGTCCCTGAATTTTTTTATTGTATCCCGTATATCCCAGACAGGGAGTTGCAGAAGCTCCAAACCAGAACTTCAACAGGCACAGGTAATAAAAACTCCAAGAAAAGTCTGTCTCCCATAGGCAAAGGATCTGGAAAAGGGAGAACTAACAATAGGGAACCTTATTGATTTTTGAGAGAGAGAGGACGGGAGAGGGAGAGAGAGACAGAAACATTGGTGAGAAAGTAACATCAATTGGCTGCTTCCTGCATTCCTCCCACTGAAAACAAAACTCAGGCACATTCCCTGACCAGGAATCGAACCCATGACCTCTTGGCACATGGGTCAACACTCAACCACTGAACCACACCGGTTGGCCAGGCCAGGGAATCCTTTTTTGCAATACTCATCCTACTTGAGCCAAACACTTAAGAAAAACCATCCTACCTCTCCTCACTCCAACTCTTTCAGTGGGGCCAAGTGGAAAGCTGATTTTCCATTCTCAATAAGGCAGAAGCAGGTTTTGTACCCTGATTCCCAGGCAGGAGTAGTGTCATTGTAATTTCAGAGTGAGTGGAGCCTCCACCCATAGCTGACAGCAAGGAGACTGTTGGAGGAGGTGCTAATCACCACTCTGCTTCACCCCCTTCTTCTTTACCAGTGTGATAGAAGAGCTCAATGAGGAGTTTAACTTCCATCCTTACCCAGCATCAATGAGACTGAGCTAGTCAGCACTCCACTTTCCCTCACCCTTGGTATGGGCTGGATGCTGAACCTCCACAGCCACCTAGCAGCAAAGAGACTGAGCAAGGAGAGAGAAGCAAGGCTAGTCCTGTTCCCCAAGAAATAGTGAAATGAGTATCTACACATGCAGATTCAAGAAACTACGTGAACCCAAATAGGGTAAGCCCAAATAAATCCACACCAAGACCCATTATAATTAAACTTCTGAAACT